TTTATCTATTTATAAGTCGAGTCCGTAGTAGGGGTGTATGATTTCTCGTTTGCTGGATTTCAGGAATATTGAGAAGCACTGAATACTAGATTACTTTTCAGGACGTTGACTAGATGAACTAACAGACCAAAGGTGTTTCTTAGTCATCTTAAGGTATGTCGCGTTAGGCCAAAGAAAAAAAGAGAGGAGCAGTCAAAATATGGACAAACAATAAAACATGGAAGAAAACAAAAAAGAAAAACTAGCCAGCTCACCATGTAAGACACAAATAAGTAGGCTACATTTGTAGCCAACCCATCACTGACCAGTGGATAAAATAATAATGATAATAATAATGGTACTAACAATAATAATAATAATAATAACGACAACAACAAAATCAAAACAAAAACAACAAGAACTATTTAACAAATTTTATTTGAAAGAAAACAATGTAAATTAAGGTTGTCGTGCACCTTCAAGGGTGTCTCGCGTGGAAGCGATGTAGCGCGTCCGGTTTAAACTGTACATATCTAAACCCCTATATCAAATTAAAGCTTATAGGACTGGCTATCAGCCTATAACAAAATCTTTGAAAAAAAGGAGTTGTCGAATTTTTCAGTACTTCTAAATGCGAGCGCCCAAATCACCTTTTAAGAGCTACAGTTGCATGTCAAAGGAAATTTGTTCGATTGCTCTCAAATTTTGACAGTAGCTAGTTTTGCATATAAAGAACAAAAACGTGTCTCCGAATTTTTTATTTCTAAATAATTTTTTTCAAGAGCGATTTTTGTACGATCACTGCACATGTTTTTAATCCTATTTCAAAAATGTTCTGTAACTTTTCACTGAAATTGAATATGGCAAATCGCAGACACGTTTTCTTTTTAGCGCTTTGGCCCCGGGAACGAAGGAATACTTTAAATAAGCGAAAAACAAAATTCGCTGTAACATGTTCAAAAGGTGATTCCGGTGCTCGCATTTAGAAGTCGTGAGAAATTCGACAATTCATTTTTTTTCCAATTTTTGGAATAGTCTGATAGCCAGTCCCATAAGCTTTAATTTGATAGAGGGGTTCACATCTACAGTTTAAACCGGACGAGCTACATCGCTTGCACGCGAGACACCCCTGAAGGTGCATGGTAACCTTAATGCGCGCGTATGAGCCCTTTCTTTTCTTTTGAATTACCTGTACTTGTAGCTTTGGTATCACCAGGTCTTCCTCACGCCCGGACGTACCTGACCCCTTGTACTTGTGTTTTAACCAAGCAGTCATGTCATTATCGCGAGACAACAAAGGAGTCATTCTTGTTTCGTGCTGAGCCCATGAAAAGGCATCGTACTGATCATTTACCCCTCCAAAAGTACAAAGCGCCATCGTAAAATTCTACTGAAAATTCTTATCGCTTCACTTTTAATAACTGACAAGGTCACAAACATTTACGCTTGAATAGGGGGAGGGATGGAAACTCGGTCCAGTCCTAATACTCTCACGTCCAAAATGGCGGGCCCTACTGGCATCATCTCATGTCTCGTGTGGAATATTTCATTTCAGCAGCAACAATAATATTTTGTCATCCAGCTCTTCTGACTGTGGATTCCCTCTTTGTTGGATAATTCCATTTATTCAGTTCTAAAGTACTTAAGATCTTTGGTGGATCACAAGTCACCTGGACGGTGCTCACTGCTGCAGGTAAGCTTATGTTTGCATGGTCATGTTCGCTTAGTGATGGGTATTTGCGAGAGCTATTCAGCCTATTCAAAGGTCGGACGTGAATCATCTTTTGACGATTTTTTTATTCTTAGCGTAATGGTTAAGGCCAGGTTAAGGTCACACTATTTTCAAGTAAAAAACCGCCTGACAAAATATAGAGACTTTAGTTTGCATGCTTGGAGTATGATACGTATGGAAATATGGCCTAACAAACATAGATCAGAGAAAATTTGAGGATCTTTAAAAAATATAGTTATTTCAAGGTCAGAACATCATCATTTGTGTTCTATGATGGGTACAAGGTTTTTATTTATTACTTTACTTTATTTTGCTAAACCGCTAGGTGTTTGTAGTGCTAATCAGAGGCCTTCTTAGTGCATTTGTAGGCTAAGAGGTATTTCTAGAAAATGACACTGATTTGGCTT